TAATATTTCTTTCTAGAAAAATAACTTTTTTTCTTTCACAAAATCTTTTTTTTTTAGTACATTTTTTAATAGATTATTTATAAGATAGCTTTGAAACAATTGTATCTTTATAAAACTGTAAAACTGACAATATAAATCTTAGTTCATTTCTATGATTTTGTCAATTACTGAAGTCTGCAAATCAGTATCTCATTGCAAATATCGGTCACTAGCATGTAACATTTATGTCACATGGAATTATTCATTGATATCATTGAATATTTCATAAAATAATTTTTCTACTATTACTTTGGTTTATAGACGCGTCTATTTTATTTTGCATTATGTAATTTCTTTATTAGTAGATCCTAGAAAATTATTTCTTTTATTTGTACCACAAATAAAATAAATAAACTGTAGTGACTTTACGAAATGTATCAGAATTTTCGTCGTATCAAATTTTTATTTACATTGTGATCTCAATTACACTTGCAAATTAGTATGAAATTGTGTGCATCCTCTTCTTTTATTAATTTTATTAATCTCACTATTGTTTCTTTTAAATAGATCAATAATTGTGTCACCATGTGATCCATTAAATCTTGTAAATTGCATGTTGCACTTACATTGCACGAATCTCTAACGAGATAACCTTTGCATATTGTTACCACGATATAGGGTTTTTATTAGTAATACTACATTCTGGAAAGATTAATTTCTACGTACATTTCCAGTGTCTACAACTTAGGCTTGTAACCTAACCTAACCTAACCTAAAACTAACCTAAACCACCTGTAGAGACAGAAATAACCAATATAGATGATCCTATGGATATTAAAAAGGACGTGATTAGTGCATTCAAGAAGATTGCAAAAACAGCGAGGAAATTGAGTGTGAGATACTAAAGGAAAACTTGCTAGAGATGCAAGCAACTGTTGTTGCCTATTCTGATGCTGAAGATAAGCACAAATTAAGATAAGCTGGTTATTTAACCCTTTGCGGACGCGTGTTGGCAATATCCCAAGCTTTTTTACCGTAGTAGACGCATATAGCCGTGTGCGTATTTATTAGTTTAAAGACACGTTCATAGTATAACATACACATAGAGTCAAAATAGGACCTGTAGAAAAAAATTTCAAGCCTTCTTAGTATCCAATCTTCCTTTAGAAACAAATTTGAGTTTTATAAACATTCATCATGAGTACCTCAGCGCATGTTTCTTTCTCTGCTGTCAATCTTTTACTGAAGCTAACAGAACATCTAACGCGTATAAAAATTTATTTGTGCATACATAGTGTTTTTATATTTAACACTAGATCTACTAAGGGGGGTCGGTCAAAATAACTTGTTTAGCATTTCTTATAATCATTACTCATTTTCAGTACTTACTCATTTTGTTTTCTAAAATTTTGTATGACATTTTTCAAAATATGTAAATAATTAATTCTATAAAGCAGTTTCCTTTTTTCTTGTTTTTTTGTTATAAAAATTTTATTATAACAGAACGTAGATAAACTTGTGATTTCAGAAGTTTTTCGTATTATTTTTGTATAGTTGAAATATACTTTTAGAAAACTAAGTAAATTTTCGTACATATACGTCGTACAAAAATTGCCAAAAGATACATGTATTATGTTTTTCATTCTTCTTTTACTTTCTCCATATTGTTATGTGGCCGTAACAATATCTTCGTTTACAAAAACATGTGACGCAAGGAAGATTACCATCGCACGTTTTCAAAGTGTCAGGACCAACGGCAGATGCGAAACGACATATAAAAGGTAGTGGAAGAATAGCATTTTCTTTGATACTCTGCAATAAAATTTTGCAGGTGCGCATGAATCCTACTACAAACATGAGCATTTATTGACATTTCGAGATGTCGTAGAGTCTATGAGTGTTTTCAGCGGTAATAATAAAATGAATATTCGTAATTGGTTGCAGGAGTTTGAAGAGATGGCCGAACTGTGCGATTGGACTGATGTCCAGAAGATCATTTATGCCAAAAGACAATTACGTAGTTCAGCAAAAATGTTTGTGTTGGAATATATCGATGAATGGTGTAAGTTGTGTGTATGTGATTGCCTTTTGTCGTCAACTAAACAAATGAACTCTGGGTTCGCGTTTTGCAGGTGATCTCGAGGCGTTGTTCTGAATGTATTTATGTATGCATTTCCTATCAATTATATTATCGCGTATCCTTATTTTATAAATACTCAGAATAAATTCTGACAATTCGTGAATTACGAAAAGTGCTTTAAATGTTGAAGCGAAATGAAAAAAGCGCTGGCATATAAATTTTCACAAACCGTGGACGCGCATAAAATATATAAAGAATTGTCAAGAAGAATCAAAAAGCTGACCGAAACGTGAGTATATTTATCAAATGTTCGAAATTGCAAAGCAAGTAGATAGATATGGAAGATTCCGCCATAATAAGATATATTATTGACGAAATTCAGGATGAGGAAATAAATAAGACTGTATTGTATGGTGCCAAAAATGTGCGTGAGTTAAAAGAAAACTTTACACTATATGAGATGATGAAAGAGAATATGATAGCGAAGGGTAAGCTGGTTGAAGAGAAGCTAAAGAAATCGTCAGTTCGCAATGAAACAGAGCAGAAGGCTGTGCGACGTTACTATCTGTGTGGGGACTGGAATTACTTGACTGTCCTATGAAGAATAAAAGTACCCAGTGTTTCAAATATTAGAAATATGGACATAGTGCTCCAAATTGCGTGGAGCGCATCATATTCGTCACAAATAAAACGTGGCAAAAAAGCGGAGATAGTGTCAACAGCTAGCAGTTAAAAATTTTTTCCCATCGATAAGATGCAAACTTCCAGCCACTCTTCGAATTCTTAATCTCAGATCACCTATTCTCAAAATTAGCAGTCAGCAGATCTAACGATCCAGGGCTCCCACTCAATGCACATCCAATATTATAAGAACCTAAACGCCCAATAAAGATTTAGTCTTGGATTATAACTCGAACTTCTTTCATTATTACCTTAAATCGCTCTGAAATTGCAATGAATTATGTTAGTGAAGTTTTACTTCTTTTGAAGTCCAATTTTTTGTTCCTCTTTATAAAACATAGCAGTTTGTTTAATGAATCATATTGTGAAGTGATCACACGTGAAATTTATCCTTCTCATTTTTTATTAAATCCACCTCCGTCAACGTGACAGGTAAGCAATCAGTAGATGAAGCAATAGTAAAGTTCAAAAGCAAAGTTAGTTTCATAAACCAACGAGTGGTAATAAGAATTTATGTTCTGATAGAGGTCAGTATTGGTTATATTAGAGCTTTTTACCATATTATAGCAGAGTTTCACGCAGAAAAATTAATCAGACCTTCCAACAAGTTTGAGAATTATAGCGCAACTATATGCAAACCTGTTGGAATCGAACTCTGAAACTACAGGCCACCATATTATCACAGATTTGTAATTTTACAAGCCTACCGCTGACAGATGCATTATTGCAAATAAAATATCATTTGATTGAAAACCATACAAACAAATAGAAAGTACATTCCAAACAGAAATAAAAAGTCTTAAAGATTGATTAAATCGTTGCTTACAGACGCAACCACAAATTGTTACTAACTTGGAAGGACAAACGAATCGTAACAATGCTTAGTACCTCTAGAATATTCAAGTACGAAAGATATTAGAAGAAAAACACGTGAAAGGGTCCTATCGAATATATTGAAACTGAACATAAATATATGAGGGAAGTAGATAAGGCCAATCACTACACGGCCACATATTGTTTTATGAGAAAATCACAAAAATAGCATAGAAATATGTGCGATAAATTCGTATGTTTTGTACAAAATTCGCCAGATTCAACAAAACAAAAAGCCCTTAAAATTCAAGCGTCAGTTAATAAACCAATAGTTGACAATTTCCGGGACGAGCATAGATTCTATGCCATCAACTTCTGGGACCACAGAAAGACTTAACGACCTTTTACACATAATTCGAAGGAATAACAGAGAAAAAAGTAAAGATTGTGTAGTATGCTTTAACACAAATACATGGCACGCAAGAGATTTTGTACGACACCCAAAAAATTATATTAAAAAAAATGTAATAAACTTCAACTTTATGTAACAAACTTTTTTTAAACTTGTATTTCTAAAATTTCTAATTAATGTAGCACTAAAACCCTTCGTAGATTTTGCAACGATTTTATTTCAAAAATCTTTCAAAATTTGACTAAAAATTCAAATTGGTGCGGTCTCCGATTAGTTTTTGGCCTAACCATCAGAATCGCTGAAACTTGGCAATAGACCTTACTATAGTCCCTTCTAGTATGTGTGTTCTGTGTGCACAACAACGTGAGTTTATTTTCATGATTTTGTTTCAGTACAGTAGTGATATTAATTTAATGTAATAGAAATTGCGTATCAATATTAAAAAAAAAAATTAGTTAATATTTGATTTTGTTATTTTAAAAATTATATTTGCTGCCCCATTGAAATGTTACCAATGAAAAAAACAAAAATTACAGGATGTACGAAGTTTTTTAACATCTTGGACTCTTGATTATGGCTTTGTTAAACATGAAGATAAAAGTCGTTGCGGTCTGTGTTCTGAAATAATTGTATGTCGAATATCTTCTATTAAGAGACATTTTGAAACTAACCATAAAGAAATTGCTGATAAAAATATGGCTGAAAAGAGGGAATTAATTTCTCAACAGTTAAAGTAGGCTTAAAATCAATCAAATTTATTATCCAAATTTGTGAAAATTTCAAACAATGTAATGGAGGCTAGTTTTGAAATTTCATATTTGATAGCCAAACATTCAAAACCATCTTCTGATGGAGAATTTTTAAAAGCGGTTAAGTTAAAAGCTGCTCCCACTTTGTTTCAAGATTTTAACAATAAAGAAACAATTATACAAAGAATTCAAAAACTGCAGCTAAGCAGAAATATTGTTAAAGAAAGGATTTTAAAAATGAGTGTTAATATTTCAGATCAACTTCACACGGATATTAATAGTTGTGACTTTTTCTCTATTTGTCTAGATGAAACAACTGATATTAAGTCATCTGCCCAGATTAGCAATTTTTGCACGTTATCCAAAAGAGAATGAAATGCATGAGGAACTTTTAAAATTGGCAAATATACCGAAAAGAACAAGAGGTACAGAAGTTTGTCGTTAATGAATTAAAAAAAACTTAACATCAATTTAAAAAACATAATTTCTTACGACAGACGGAGCACCTAATATAATTGGACCAGATATTGGTTTTGTTAATTTATTTCAAAAATATGTTGATCATCCATTAATAGAATTTCACTTTATTATTCATCAGCAAGTCATATGTGTAAAAGTTGGTACTAGTAATTTAAAAGCAATATCTGATAAAATTAATAAAATTGTAAATTTTATAGTTGCACGTGACATGCACAAAAGATAATTCAAAAAACTTTTAAATGATGTGAATTGTGAATATGACTCTCTTTTAATGTATAATAGCGTACGTTGGCTAAGCCGAGCTATATCCTTAGAAAGATTTGTTAATTGCTTGGATGAAATACGCCTATTTTTAAATGAATTTAATAAGAACGATTTTAAAGAACTTTATGACACAGAATGGTTAACAAAAGTTATATTTTTTACAAATATAACATTACATTTAAACGTTCTAAACAAAAACTTGCAAGAACGTGGAAAGACGATTGAGGTTATGTTTGGGCTAATAAAGGCATTTGAAATTAAATTGGATATTTTTGTCAGAGATCTAGCCAATTTAAATATTTCCCAAAACTTAAAATATTTATGGATGAAACACAAATTTTTGAAAAAACAAATTGGAACTTCACTGTTGAATTTTCAAAAATTCTTGATTCTATAAAGAACTAACCAAGAAACAACAATTTTCACAAAGAGTTAAAGATTTTAAAAGAATTGAGAAATTATTCAAAATTGTGAATTATCCTGACTTATTTGATATGCAGGATTTCGATAATAATCTTCTTAATTGGATGGAACTAGAAAATTTAGAAATGCAAATTATCGATTTGCAATCTAATCCCATTTGGGTAGAAAAATTTGTAAATATGCGGAAACATATCCAATAATTGGAATGTTATCGATTATCACATGATGGAGAATCAGAATGCCGCATTGAAAACTCAATTCTAGAAGCGTGGGATAGTATGCCAGATGCCTTTGGTTCTGTCAAGAAATTAGCAATCTCATTGTTGACCATTTTCTCCTTCACTGATTCTAGCTAAAGTCTTTTTTCTGTATTAAATCAAGTACATTCAAAGAATAGAAACAGATTAACAGAGGAAGATTCGGCAGCATGCATTACTTTGCAATCGACAACATACCAGCCTGATATAAAAAACCTTGCAGCTAACATGAAGCAAAAAACTTCTTATAAAAAGTAAAATTAATAATTTTATTACAACATTAACTTTTATATCTTATATTTTATATTTATAATTTTGTACTATTTCTTTATATTCAATAAATATAATTACATGAACTTATATTATGCAATATGTTTATTGGCAATATAATAAATATTGGCTATAGATACTGGCACGTAAAGAAAATTGAAGTAAGTAATTTTTATCTAAATTTGGCACAGCGATCAAATCTTATTTACCATCCGTGCTTTAACACATTAAGCGCGGAGTTTGATTTTGCTGTGCTTTCCATTCATGCGGCGGTCACTCGATCACACGAACGTTAAATTATAAGGTATAAACAGATTAGACATCGCCGTGACGACATTGTTTCACTTTTCGTTTAAGAATAAGACAGTCAATACAAAATTATATGAATTATAAACTAAATATGAGATTAGTACATATTAGAAGGCTACCTTCAAAAGACAATGAATTCGCTAAAGACACAATAAACTAAAGACCATTTGAGTGTAGAGAATTATAGTTCGTTATATTTGTATGATATTCAAAGTTGTTTTTTACAAAGTAGTTTTACAGAGATTATTTTCAAAAATATTTGTCTGGAAATGTTGAGAGAAGGAGATGGTGATTTATCGAGTAAGTTATTGTTACCATCTAAACGTCGCCGTGTAATACGATTGCCATCATTTGAAGATGATAATTCGTCAGACAAAATAGCGAAATCTAATGAGGATAGTTCTAACTGTTCTGATAGTCTAATAAGCAATATTGAAAATCATCAAAATGAATGGTTTGATCCACAAGGCAACCAACCAAATATTGTACAAGTGCCAGCATAACTAATGCGAAAGTGCTAAACTGTAGTGAAGTCGAAGATTTTTATGGGCTGTTTACCACTGATAAAATTTTTGAACACATAACAATGAACAAATCTTTACAATCAAGAATGGCTTCGTTGACATAAATGAATACCAACGAACAAAAATGAAATAAAGCGTCTGTTTGGACTGATTTTATGGATGGGATTGGTGAAACTTTCGTTCATGCATCTGTATTGGTCCCAAGATTGTTCATTGTTCGCTCATACATTCCCATGGAAAGTAATGGGCATAGATCGATTTGAAATTTTGTCGAGTTTTGCACGAAATGTTGCATCTCGCAGATAATACAGTAGCTGATGCAACTGATCGTCTGTCAAAAGTTCAAATCATCATAGACGAACTGAATACAAATGTTTAAAAATATTATGATCCACCTGAAGAATTATGCATCGACGAGTCGCTAATCCCATTTCGCGGACAAATCATATTCAGGTTCGAAACAAAAAAAGCATAAATATGGCATAAAAATATTTAAATTGTGTTGCGATTATGGATACATCTACAGTTTTCGTGCCACGGGAAAAACTCTGGACAAAGAAAATACAACGCCGTCAAATATTGTAATGGATTTATGTAAAGATGTATTTTGTAAAAGCCATACATTATGTACTGATAATTGTTGGATTTGGCGAACAAGCTAATAAAAAAAAATATGCATTTGATTATTACACTTCGAATAAGTCGATAAAAGAGATCGATAAAAGAGAAAGATAAAAGAGATATTTTGGTCCTTTCTACGAAAAATTCTAGCCAAATGATAAATGTAAAAATAAAAAGGATTTTGTCGCAAACCAAAAATGATCGTTGAATACAATAGGAAGCCGCCATTGATCTTTCTCATAAAATAAGTGCAGTCTAACAGTCCGTTGTAAAAGACAGAAAATTAGCTTTCGAGTTTTTTTTTAAACGCCGCTGTTGTGAATGCCTTATTTATGTTCCAAAATGTAAGAGGAAGAAAAATATCAATTACGACATTTCGCAAATAATTGGCAGTGTCAGCAGTTTAAAAATTGATTTCCCACTGATAAGATGCAGACTTCAGAATTCTTAATCTCTCATATCACCTCACCTATTCTCCTGCTAAAATTAGCAGTCAGCAGATTCCAACGACCCAGGTCTGTATATACCCAATATTATAAAAGAACCTAAACGCGAACTTCTTTCTTTATTACCTTCAATCGTTCTGAAATTAGTGTGTTAATAAAGTTTTATTTCTTTTAAAGTCTAATTATTTTTTTTTCTTCTTCTCTTCGTAAAACGTATCAGTTTGTTCAGTGAATCGTATTGGCGATCCCTGTCAGGATATCATCAACTACTTCTGGAAGAAAACTTCCCACCGACGACGTTACGACTCATCAGAACGAAGGGACTTGCCACATATGTGCCATCTTCCTTGTAGATGCGAACCACAAGGTAATACGAACTGGCATTTGTAAAACACCGCAACAGGATTCCTAGTTTTACGTCTCGATCTACGGATTCTGACGAAATAACAATGGCAACAAGTAGTGTAAATGCATTACAAATTATTATGAGTAAGCTCCAAATATTAGAAGACTCAAATTAAATGAAAGGCTAACAGTAGTGGCCAAAGAAAACGAAAGACGCTCAAATGAGATTAAAGGATTATGGCAGCGTCCCATAAGGAGTTGAAGACTTCATCAAATCCGTTGAGTTTACCAGATCAAATTGTAGCGAAGAACAACTGCTATTAAAATTAATACTTGTTGAGAAAATCATAGAAAATGCAAAGCGAATATATATCAGATATTAACATCGAATCATATGGTGAATTGTACGTACACCTCCGTAATAACTTTTCTATTCCAACAACGGTTGTTGCTTATATAAACTGATTGAACCAAACCAAAGTCAGACCGAACTAATATACGCTGTTCAGAATAAACGTTTTGAACCAACGACGCATTGCAATTAAAGAGGAAAAAGACGAAGCCGTAAGAACGTATGTGATTAACTTACGCAGAGAAATCGGTATATTTGTGATTCCAAGTCAACCAAGAACACTGATAGAGGTGCAAATTCGTGCAAGCGACATAGAGCTTTGAAAGCTAATAAAAACACAGAAAAAAAGACCAGTTTCAGTCGACCAGTACCAACGCAACACAGTGATTCGTCGCAAAAAGCATCGCGCCTATGCAACAGAATTCAAGAATCCCATCTCACCATGATACGTCGTTTATAGAAGAAACAAAGATAAAATGTATCAAATGCAACAAAATTGGACATATAGCAAACAACTGTTTCGCTCGAAATTTTCCAACGCGGAAAACTACCACCACCAAGAGTGAACACGACACAACAGAGAAACCACAAGAATCAACTGCATCAACAGGAGATCGCTACGAATACGATGCCAGCTACCAGGAATGCTTAGAACAGGAACAATGCTCATGGACATCGAAGCAGGAATTAACCTACTCAAACGAGGAATAACTACAGAAGAATCTGACATACAATTGAAGGAATTTTACATGGGAAAAGACAGACACTCAATTGACAAAGTACGACGTTATACGCACAACAGAAAATCTCACGTCTTTTACATTGTACCTAACGAATTCCCTTTAACACTAGATTTACGAACTGAGTCAATCTGACTGACTCATTTAAAATGTTATTGTTATATATATAAAACTTAAATATTATTTTTTAAGAACATATGTTGGTTTTTAGTTACGTAATGAAATATATGTAGATATTAATTCCTCCCCTTCGTTTCGCATTGTCGAATGTGGTATACCTATTTTTACGGTTATGAGCCAATTTGACTCATAAAATGATTTAACAGTCAATCGCTTTAAACACATGAAACTTATGGCTTACATAAAGAAAATTCTTTTCAGAATTCTAAAAACAGCTGATGCGTAAATATTAGCTAGCTGGGGCTAAAAAGGGCCTTCCTCTTTCATCATTCTAATTTATACATCGCGTGTGAACAGAACATTTTTAGTGAAATAATATAATTTTATAAAATCAATTTTTTGCGACAAAAATTTGGTCCACCAAGGTAATTTCGATATTTATTTGTAAAAGGTATTTTAATTGATATTTATTTTACATCTAATTATGTAGAGTTGCTATTATGGGAAAAAATCAGAAAAATTTTCTTTTGCCAAAAAAACTAATCGAAATAAGGAAAAACCAATCAGATAATGAATCGGCTGCAACTGATATGGAACTATGTGATAACGAAATTGAAATTGAAATAGAGGAGAAAGCCAATAGAATTGAATTTTCGAGCCCTGAAGATGAAGATTTTTGTTATATATCTCCTACCAAAAAAAGAGTCAGATTTATTTCTAATTCTGAAACCGAAGGTGAATTGATACATCTTGTAATGAAAAAATTTCAACCGAAAAAATTGCTGATGGGACTTTATGGGAAACACTGAAAGAAGGTAGAGATTCCATTCTATTGTCGAAAATTCATACTACTGACGTACGGAAGAATTGTTCAAGCATCATGCAATAGAAATAGATGTAAGAGCCTTTGTGCTAAATGTAATAAAAATGTTTGCGGAAAATATATCAAAAACAGAGTTTATATATAAAAATATATGATGTTTTCAATGATGTTTTTAATAATAAATCTTTCATTTAAATTGATTTGGAACTATTCTTTTTTGCAAAAACTTCAATTTTGTTGTATAAGTCAAATTGATTCACTTCAGTAAAAATATAATCAACATCCGTAAATCTAGTGTTAATAGAAGACGAGATAATCGGCCTACCATTTTTAGAAAAATATTAATACCAAATTTCAAACGACTATTTGCAATTCGGTAACATGTTCCCTTCCGGAGACATCAAAAAATTCTTCATCCAGGCAAAACCATCAGCTCGATCGAATACCTCGACGAAAAGCCCACTCAGATATGTTTCATCAATTGTGGTAAGTCAGAACAAAATAAAAGATCCAATTGAAACAAACTCCGATAAAGACATTCCAAAATTTGCTTCATTAGTACGAACTAAATATATTGATCCACAACATTGCGACACAATTGTGCGAATTCTGAGCTCCTATACTGACGTATTTAACTTACAGACTTTACCGTGCACCTTTATATACCATCAAAAAACAACAAATTCATTAATATCAAAAGTTACAAACCTCCTGAATGTCATAAAATTGAAATAGAAAAACAAATAGGTGAAATGCTACAGAAAAATGTTATAGAAGACTCGGATTCACTATATAACGCACCCGTATGGATAGTTCCGAAAATTAGACGCCCAAGGCAAACAAAAATGGAGAATAGTTATAGATTTCCGAAAATTGAACGTACTTACCGATCAAGACGCGTATCCGTTTCCCAATTCCGACGAAATTCTTGACCACTTAGGTAAAGCTAAATTTTTTAGCGCTCTCGATCTATCTTCCGGGTTCCATCAAGTATCAATGCAACACGAATCAAAGAAGTACACTGCATTTTCAACACCACTTTCACTTTAACAGAATGCTATTCGAATTAAAAAACGTCCCAGTTTCAGCATTGATGGATACAGCATTGCGCGGTCTCATCGGAAAACACTGTTTGGTTTACTTAGACAACATAATAATTTTCGGGTCCATAATACAAGAACACAATCAGAATTTAACTATAATTTTGCAGATTAAAAGACCTCGAATTCAAAATTCAACCGGGTTGAAATGCGAGTTTTTAAAGCCAGAACTCGAATACTCGAGGACACGTAGTAATACCTGAAGGAATCAAACCTTGAAAAAACTGTGCTAAAAATTTCAAAATACTCAAAACATCGACAAATATAAAATCTTTTCTCGGATTAGCGCCGGTTACTATAAAAAATTTATTAAAAACTTTTCAAAAATCGCGAAACCACTCACAGATTTAATAAAAAAGGACACCCTTTTCACTGGACGGAAAAACAATAAATCGCTTTCGAAACATTAAAAGACAAATTATGTACCGCACCAATCCTTCAATATCCAGACTTTGACAAAGCTTTAACAGATATTAATAACAAACGCTAATAATGACGGATTAGAAGCTATCTTATTACAAGAAAGATACTCTTGTTGCTACATTTCACGAACGCTAAATCCGCTTGAAAAGAACTATAGTACGACGGAAAAAGAACTTGCAGTTGTATGAACAGTAAACTGTTTGCGACAATATTTACTCGGTAGAAAATTCATTCAAACAGTGATGGAGATTAAGATTTGAAAAACACGATTATAAAAAAGGAAAAGAGAACACCGCGGACACTCTATCATGCTTATATCCATTGACCGAACCAATTGCCTCAACATCTCAATACCTAACTTAGAAGAAATAACAGATAACGCACTTAGTCCACATTCACTGAATCTCGATGAAATTATACATCTATAAACAGAAATAGAAAATTTGATCGCAGAACTTGAACTTGTGGAAGAAGGACCACCAGATTACATTGACGAGTACCGGCACTTTAAGCAAGAAATAGCACCACGAGAAACTCACGTTAAAGAGAAAGATAACAAAGAAATCTATTTTCAACTAACCAAATCAGTTTTAGGGACATATAACATTAATGGCTTAAAATACTTACTAAAATCATTCAAGTCAATAAATCAAAAAACATAGGCATAAGCATAGACGACTACGGATAACATGAACGCGTAATTATATTACTTTCCTCAGCACAAGGATCAAAGATAAAACAATCACATTTGGACATAACAACGTTCGCGCGCGGTGAGTGGTACGAGACGTATGCTAGTTTTGTTTTTGAGTGAACTATATATGATTGTCGCGCGCCTGAATATCAAGGGATGGTTCCTTTCGGTGTTAATAGTTGATCGAGAGATGGTCCGAATGTGCTCTCCGGTGGAGTTTGAGGGCTGAACCGCA